ATAGATAGATAGATAGATAGATAGATAGATAGATAGATAGATAGATAGATAGATAGATAGATAGATAGATAGATAGATAGATAGATAGATATATAGATAGATTTTATTACACAGACTAAAAGTCCAAATATACATAAAAAGAAAAGAAAAAAAAGAATAAAAAGTGCATTGCATCCAAACTATTTCAACTTTAGAAATTAAAAGAATAGAGAGATAATAAATCAATTTCAGTTGTTCAATTCTACTTTACACTTTTATCTTCAATGAAATCCCTTTAATTTGTCTAAAAAAAACTTGTTAAACTTAAAAAAACTGAAGTTTTTTAAAAACTTAAAAAAATAAAAAGTCTTACAGAAATCTCTATTGCAAACTAACCTATGGAAAAATAAAAATATATCTTCTAACTGACCAAGTTGGGTTTGAACTTTGAAAAGTACAATTAAACCAGTTAAATTGAGATATGTAGACAGTGAGCCAGTTTGATTTCAGTAATCTTAAAAAGTCATCCCTTCAAATGATCACTTACTGCATCTGTAAAGAAGATTCAGCTCTTGTACGTCACTAGGACTCATTTCCACTCTTTGACCAATCACGTCTTGAAATGCTTGATTTATGGTAATAATTGTAGGGCCATTGCCATTGCTGAATGCATTTTTGCTGTAGTGCATCACTGACAGGTAGTCATATGGGCTTCCATGGGTAGTGCTGTCTTGATTGCCAACCTTTCTAAAATTATGCTCTTTACCTGGATGACAACGAGAAAAAATCATCATTAGTACAAAATGCTTTTTAGAAAAGAATAACTAAAATAAAAACAAATACTTGAAAATTTAACTAGCTTGTCAATGAGAATTAAATAGATATATTCAACAATTTGTAGAAAAATGTATTCATTGAACATATCAAACCAGTTAAAAAGAAATAAAATGCCAAACCTGCTATGATGTTGCTGTATTCAATGTGCACATGATTGTCTCTGTCATATCTTGATTGTTCGTGGTAGAAGCCAAGAGCATGAAGGATCTCATGCTCAACAATTGCAACCAAATCACAGTTCTGTCCAATGGAGAGGTCCTGTCCATTGGAAAATACTCTACCAATATATGACCAACACCTACAAAGGAAAAATGCTTATCAATGATTGTTAGATTAAAATTTCTGGTAACACTTTATTTGACAGGGTGTGCATAAGGCCGACTTGACAGTGTTGAAAGTGCCAACTTTGCATTAAAACCTCATTATTTACAAAATAATGCAAACTTGGCACTGGACTTTCAAGGCAACTTCTAGAATAACTTTGCATTAAAAGTGTCATTATTTACAAAGTGACACTTCATGACAACAGTCATAGACATTCATAAAGACTCCTTTGTGTTCATGACAGGTGTGCTGTCATGTTTATGACAGTGTCATATCGTTCTCACGCACACCCATCAAATAAAGTGTTACCAAAGTTTCCTCACTTCAAACGACCTATTTGTCAAAATATAGGCAGTACAGATCATATCTTCACATGAAACTTTTCACAAAGTTTAAGAGTGTGTCAGATGGTCTCTGTGGCATTGTACAAATAAATACATATATGGACAAACTCTGCAGCACAACAGTGATACAATCACAATTTACTTTCTTCTTGAGTTTGTGTTTTTACTTCATCTTATCTTCAACCATAGAAGATTGGCCTTCCCATTGCCAAGTTAGCACAAATCTAGTATAATGCAGGGGCCCTTTATGACAAATGAAAAAGTCCCATATGTGAGACCAGAATTTTAAAGTCTAAATTAAACTCTGCTCATCTTGTAGTGGCAGAAATATGATTTTATAATAAATGACACTATATATTTATGATTTTCCAGAAAGGTAATTGACTGTAATAAAAATGAATCATCTTGTGATGATAAAGATAAACTCTGTCTTATGATGTTTGCAAACCCTCAAAACTGATAGTGTTGTTGGCATCGTTACATTTTCTGATTGACCTGTTTTCTTATTTGGGTCAAAAGAAGCATAATAAAATGCTGTTTATCTTTTGAAACATCATATCATATACTGGTTTCAACATAACTGATTTGAATCAGCATGGTATAATGTTTAACAGTGCAGCTTTCATTTGCATTGTTTTAGTGAAGGTGCATATATTAAAACTGATCAATTTTATTCTCAGAGCAATATTTTTGTACGTTAGATTTCAGATTATATATAGTAGCAGATTCATGTCTACACTGATATTAATAATGGTAATTTATGTTATGTTATTCATCCCTGATTATAGAAAACGTACCTGATTAGTGGTACGATTAGTGGTATTAGTGGTACGTTTTCTGTGACAAAGGTGGTGATGGTCGTAGAAGTTTAACTGGTTCAAACCCTCACTTTGTCTGTCTTAGTTGTGTCCTTGGGCAAAACACCACAAGACTTACGACCATCAACTTGTGAATGTGCGCATGAATGAATGACTAAATGTAGTGTAGTGTCATCTGAACTTGATAAAGTGCTATAACTGGCCGTTTACCATTCCATTTGGGTAGATTTTTTATTTTTATATATTAAGCATAAATTTGTATATATTAAGCATAAATGTTATTTGAATATGAAGTCATTCCCAAATTCCTAGTGTCATGTTATCAGGAAGTAGCACATATACATTTTACTGAAATGAAGCTTGACTCATGTGGTTATGAATAATATAGTTTCCTGGTTGAAGTGTAATTTTTCAATTTAGGATAGGTTGCATTGGGAATGTATTTATTTGAAACTAAAAAATGGTAGGAAGCAAAAATGAAATTGTATACATACCCATCTAATTTTTTTATGTTAAGGTAATACACCTCAGAATCTCTGGGTTTGAAGTCAATGCATGACTTCACCCTGAACTGGTCGAATGCTCTCAGGATGACTCCTCTAGCTTTCAAGTCTTCCATTTTACATGAAAATAATGGAAAAGAATATAAATGATTCATTTTATTTCAGATAAAACATAATATAATGATTCTAAAAACAATTTTCTAAAGCCATTAATTTGAATAATTGTCTATACAGTTATACACCTTGATAAGACAAGCCTGAGAATTTGAATACACTGATATTCACAAATATTCTGGTAGGAACGAAACAATATATTTACCAAGGCCTTTGTCCAAAACATAGGGGACTGGAGAAGTCCACCGTTTGTCCCCAGGAAAAATGCTACTCTTTTGAGCATTTGAAGGCTGAGTTATCAGTAGATAAGAAAAAAACATTTTAAACCCCAGAATGAATTCAATTACACCTCACTGGACTGCCTGCAAAAATACTGAGCTTACCTCCCGGATATCATCAAGTGTTAAATCTGAAAGAAACCACAGAAGTTAATTACTGTACAAAGATTTTTAAAAATGTACTGTTAATGATAGGGTGACATGAAAACCTCACCAGAGTTAATTTACCAGAACAAAAACAGTTTACCTTCTGTGATGTTATTTTCGCCAACATCTAAAAAAAAAAAAGATTTTGTAAGGATTTGGGTTTTTCTCTGTGTTTTGAGTTTTTCTATGTGTTCATTTTGAGTTTTTGTCTCCGAGTCTGTTCCTTGTTCCTCATTGGGTCCTTGTCTAAGCTGTCGTTTTGTCAGGCCTGTGTTTGCCCTGGCTGCCCGTTGTCCATTCGTTTCCTCCAGTGCTACTGGTGTTGAGCCCTGGCTTCTGCTTAGCCTGGTTGTTGGACTTATTTCATTATTAAACCATCATTTTTTTTTCATTTCAACCTGGGTCTCAAGCATCTGCCTCACCACCTCCTCACACCACTTCAAGACAGATTTCCTGTTTTCATTTGCCAATAATTCAAGACGACACTTGAAATAACTGAATTTTGTTATTTAACATGGAAAAAAAAATGCATGGGAGAACTTACCCACTATTTCTATGTCCACCTGAATTCAAAAAAAAAAAAAAAATAACAATGAATAAAAACTAAAACCGTTTTCTAAAATGGATGCAACATTTTATAAGACAGCACAGTAATAAACAAAGTACTTGCCTCTGGGATGGCGTGTGCTGATGAAACAGCCAAGTTTACCATAAGAAGAATGTAGCTTTTTATCCTCATGATATGTCTGTATTGAACCTAAATACTGAAACTTTTAAATCAAAGTATTCCTCAAAGCCAGACAGTCCAGTCCTGTGCCTCTCTTATTTGTGTGGATCTTTATTAGCTTCAGCTGCCTTATCTAAAACAAATTATTTTCCGGAATGCAAAGCTTAATTATTGATAGAGAAGTCCAAAGGATTTCCTGGATGGTTTATGGATCACATTTGTAGAGATAAAATGTTTTATCACCACATACTTTTTAGTTACATTGTGTTCAGCCAACAGAACTTAGTCAAATAAAATTTTGAGAAAAAAAAAATGTGCAAATGTATTTTCTTTTCAGGTTTTGAAGTTTGTACCCTGATTAGTTAAGAACTTATTGTTTTATGGATATTTCTTTAAAAAATGGCAATCTTAACGTACAGAATTTAGCATTGAAAATACTGGTTTGCTGTAAGTCAAAGATCATGACATTCTGCATCTACTAATGCAAATCATACAAAATGCAGAAGTAGTTGTGTCACTGGACTGATTTTTTTTTTTTTTTTTTTTTTTTGTGAAATAGCTTGAGATGGCATGTGTTGTGAATTGACATAATACAAGCTGAAATGAATTCTAAAGCTATAGTGGCTGCAACTGATTTCACTTTTGAAGATGAAGAATTAAGACTTGAATTAAATGAAGCATGGATATTTTTGCATTTCCTCAACTTCCTGGAACTGACCTAAGTCATTTTGGGAAATACAAAAACAAACAAACAACAAAAACGCAACCATTAGGGAGGTGACGATTTATGAAAGTGTCGCAACTAAAAGTGTTTAGAGAAGAAATATCAACGCTTCAACTCTCCAGCAGATGGAGCTCTTGCTCAGTTTATTAAAAAATAACATTAACGACTGACAGTAGAAGACAAGCGGAAGCTGGACGAGCTTATTACTTCGTAACTGCACTGTGCTTTACGTAAATCCCTTCCTTTCTGTTTTTATTGCGGTCATAATCAGAGTATTTGCTGCTAGAATGGCTCTCACATGCGAGGAATCACAACCAGAAAGTAAGTTTAATATTTATTTCTCGTTTGAATAAACTTTGAATGTTTGAATGAAATGAAGGCATTTCATTCATTCCGAACTTTGAACAGGTGCTCGGTGATTTTTTGATGTATCCGATTTTAAAACTCGAATTGATTTATGCGTTACATAATTATTCTTCTTATGTTAGTCTCAGTATTATAGTAAAAAGGGACAATAAGTTAGAAACGTCTTCTGCTCTGCAGTGTTCAGGCTGCACAGGCCTGAACACATTATAAATAAAAGTCTATAATGTGTGACTTTTATTTCACACATTATAGAGTAAAAATCCCTCTGCTTTAAATTCACATAGAAGATGTGCGTAGATGTGCGTATTTGTAAAGTATTTTCCCAGTGTCGCAAGATTTAAAACGTCCTAAGAAATCCTTCTTACTGCGTCATTTACCCACCCTGGCCTAGTTTCAAAAACTGTGGTCAATTCCAGTTAATATTAAAATTTCACTGCTCTATAGAGGACCCATAAATTGTATTTTTTCTACTATTACATACTACTTTGCCAAAACGTGATACAAAATCCTAGAATGAGAGAGAAGGTTTGAATTGGTTTTATATGGATCAAAGTATTGGAAAAATAAATGTCTTTTAGTTAATACTATGTATGTTTTTCATTTTACAGTATTAGAAGGCATTTTTAAATTTTCTCAAAGGTTCCACTTCCTTTGTGAACGGCAAATAATCATCTCAAATGTCATCTGAAGGCAAGTTTCTGAAATATACATTCTAATCACATAAAGCACAGACGGTTGTATTTTTAATTAGAGTCCAAATGTATCCTATTTACAATACAATTACAACACATCCAGTTAAAATCTTTGTCAGGAGGCACAAATAAATGCAGAGTCATTAACTTTGCAGCAGTCAAGAGCAAACATGTGGCAAGAGGGGATTTTCTTTTGAGCAGGAAGAAACCTTTAGCGTCAACCAGATTCAGTAACTTTAAGCCTTCTGCTTTAATTTGGAGATATGAGTGTTACTATTTAATTGCCAGCAGCATCTTACAACCATTGACCGTCAGTTTCTACTAATTTGTGCTCAACGTGGTGCGAATGAACAGTTAAGAAGCTGCATTCTAACATTGTTAAATATTTGTTTTCTCTTAGTGTCACATTTTTCAATATTTTCTTCTACACTTTTTTATATTATACACTTTTCAGAATATTAAGTTGATGCTTTTGAATGTTGTTGCTTTGTAATCTAACCCAGCCATATTGTGTTTTAATCTTCAAGGTGGGAAAGGCCTACACACCCAGGAAAGTGGGTATGTTTATCCACTGTCTTCCCTTTTACTTTCATTTTGATAAATACCAACATTTTAAACTAATATTTTCTGTACTTTCTAATGAAACTGTGTTCAGATAAAATTGCTTGTCTGTTACAGTGATGCAGGTTTCTCAGCTAACATGAAGCATGTCTTCAGTGACAACGATGACGTCATCTTTGCTGGATGTGGATTGCCCAATGCAAATAAAAATAGCTCTGTGAGACCCATGTTCATAGAGGCAGAGATCTCTGAGCTGACAAAAAAGGAAATGCCGGTGATGTTTGAGCCCAACAACCTTGTGTCTACGGGGAAAGAATTGGGTGAAGCAAGAAAGAGGAAGCAGTCAAGCCGTGACTTGAAAGAACAACAATTTCAAGAAAAGATGGACGGAGAACTGAAAGAAGTGTTTCTTCCATGGCGCCCACGACAGAAGGCTCAGAAAAAACTTCAAAAGAGTCATCCAAGGGTTCTAGGAAGAAGAATTAATAATTGCCAGAACTCAAAATTAAAGTGGAAAACCTTGATTGGTGGGATGAAGTTAGAATTTTTTTTATACTTCCTATGCTCAAATTTAATGAAACAATATGCATGAGAAATTAACATACATTGTATTTCTTGTCTAATTTTACAGTGTGCTGTTCCATGATGACAATGCAATTAGTTTTCTGTGACACATCGACTGGTATGTTCTTAAAAACTTTTAAACATATCGCTTTCTTTAACTCCACTTCAAACCACCAGAAACATTTTACTTATAAATATATTCTTGTTTTTTTTTTTTTTCTCTGTTTTTTTTTTTTCTCAAGTTGGACCTACAGGCACTTGCTTCACCTGCATGGATAAGGCCAGATGTCCAAACCTGATAACAATATATGCGAAAAATGATCGTTTGGTCTATGACAGACCCACTGAAGAAGAAATCCCAAAGTGTTCTGAAGCCCCTCCCATCACAAAGAACTGTTTTGTGTGCTGGTCTCAATCAGACGTGAACATCCACTGTCCCAACAACATCACAACATTTGAGGCTGAGGATTGCAATGGCTCAAGAATCACAAACATCATCAAAGGGTGTAAGTATTTCATAAAGCACTATTATAAAATACTGCATAAGTGCATGAAAAAGAACTCGGCTGCAGTTCCTTCCAGAATATTTTAAACTCCTTGAACATTTTATATGTTGACATATTTTCATCACAAATTTATGCAATAGACTAGAGCTGCCCAGTACATCAAACTGAAATCATGATCACAAAATCAGTACTCGTAGTATCACAATCAAACAAACAAAGGGCCACCCGGAAGTAATATTTGGTAGAATCTCATATTTCAAGTGTTTTGCTTTCTCATCCTATATAATCTTGAAGGTACTTTTCCAGTTGAATTAACTCTAACTTCAATTAACTTCAGTTAAATTCTATTAATTTGATCAACTTTATAATAATAAATAAAACAAATGTCTAAAGAATTTGGCTTAAAATAAATCCATACTATTATTGCATAAGGATCACAAATTTCTGAAATTATACAACCATATAACGGACAACACAAAGTAGTGTGTAAAAGTGATATTGTTTGAATATTCTTACAAAAATCATACATTTGTCAATGTTTTGTAAAAATATTTTTGCTGCAATTATTGCTGCAGCTGTATAGGGATATATCTGTTCCAGCTTTTAATATAAGGAGTCTGAATTTTTCATCTAATCTTCTTTGCAACATAGCTCAAGGTCAATCAGCTTATATGAGGAGTATATTTGTATAAATCTTACTTGAGATTGTTAACTAGTTTTAGAACGACTCTTTTTTTGACTTATTTCACTTTTTCTGTGTAGTTTTTAACTCATGTTTTAGCCATTTATTTCAAAGAATATTGACATGCAGATGTGTTCAGAATGTTGAAACCTTGGGAACTTGTATCAGTCCAGAAAGCTTTGAAATTTCATATCACAGTTTTGCCATTTTAAAGTAAACTGAAATGTGATATATCAGTGCTTATAAATTCTAAAGTCAAAACAAAAGTTAAACCTCGGGACTTATCATATCAAACATTCACATTTTTTCTGTCAGGAGAAAAATTAAAAAATATATATATATATAATTTTCTCTCTTGTCAACTCTTTTGCCCATTCATCTCAATTTTATGTTTAATTTTTTGTCTTCAGGTGAAAAGCAGCTAAAGCCTTACCCTGCACCTACTGGACCAGCTAACAAAGCGAGTATGTATACGGTTTGGATCACACTATTGGCCTGTGCAGGTCTTTGAAATTAACTGTGATAATTGTCATAAAAGCACAGTTTTCTATTGCTCTTTCTTTTATTGCAATGTGGCAGAAAATGAAGGGTGACAATGCGAGTTGGCTGTAGGTTTGGAGTCAAAGCATTTACACCTGGACAGAGAACTGATATCAGTACATATGTTTTTTTTCTCTACCACTGAGCTCTGAGACAGATTGTGTTAAGGTGCTCAGAAGGTAGTCAAGCAAAAAACAATTCAAAATGCCTTAGACAATCTATTTAAAATCTAGTTTTTGTTCTAATGCTATTTGCTATGTTTGCCTCATTTATAGGTCACACTCATTTCCTTACTGGACTCATATGTAGTGTTGGTATGTAACATGGATCTTGATGTTGGGATGAATCAGTAAGCCTTTTGTTTTTGCTGTGACTCAGCTTGACTTGTGTTGTCATTTTACAGTTGCTGTTGTGATGCTACTCTGAATCGTGGTGATCTACGTTGTGAGTGTGCCTGGTTGTGAAAACAGTACTTTCTATTAGATGGTTATAATTTGTGCTTCAATGTCATTTTCATTTTCAGATCTGGAAGAATCAAGATGGCTGTTTAAATTTTTCATAGAGTTGTATTTTTAAATACTTCTTTACATTTCTGTTAAGTTTCTGATATCTATTGTGTGACTTTTTCTTTTTTTTAATTATATAATAAACTTAAAAATTGAAAGTCAGTTCTGCTATTTCTAACCTCTAACTTTTTACAGTTACACATTTCTATATTTGTTATAGGACATATGATGAAAGCAATTAAGAAAATCCAGGTAGAAAATCATCACAACTGCTCCTACAGCCACTGTTATTCACTTGGTTCTCTTTTTGTTGCTTGCTATTTTCCACTTGTGTTTTTACTTTAAGTCCTTTTCTTTATAGTTAACCATACCTTTTATCACTGTTGTGACAGGCTAATCAATCAATTGTTAAGTCAACACAAAATCCTTCAGGCTGATTAATTTTTAAATGCATGCTAGTCTTATTGACATATTATATTTAAAGCTATTGTGGTTTTAGTAAGTCAGAAATATAGTTACATTGCCCACTTTGTTGAGTCATTGATTAAGCAATGACTCAACAAGTCATTGCTTAAAGAAAAGGGAAAGAAAAGGGGAAAAAAAAAACCTTGGTATTTTATTCTATGTTGCATGCCTTTGTGTTTTGTGTTTATGATGTAAAGCACTTTGAAATGCCTTGTAGCTGAAATGTGCTATACAAATAAAATTTGATAGATCTATCTATCTATCTATCTATCTATCTATCTATCTATCTATCTATCTATCTATCTATCTATCTATCTATCTATCTATCTATCTATCTATCTATCTATCTATCTATCTATCTATATATCTATCTATCTATCTATCTATCTATCTATCTATCTATCTATCTATCTATCTATCTATCTATCTATCTATCTATCTATCTATCTATCTATCTATCTATATATATATTTATTTATTTACTAACGTAACTTTACACACACACACACATATATATGTGTGTAAAGTTACTTTGGTAATATATTTCAAAACATTACTCATCATATTTATAGGTGATATATTTAAAGTATTTCTGTTTATTTTAATGATTGATTTATTTCTACACAAAGCTAGAATTAAACCTGTCAGAAAGTGACACTTGTTTTCAAAATATTTTTTATTGATTTTATGCAATATTCGTCAAAAATAATTGAGTTTACGTTTTTGATCTAAATTACGGAAATGCGATAAGCACCTGAATTTACTCATTATACGCAGTCTATGTACTATTCTTCCAGGTTCCTTTCAAAGCAGCGACCCTGCTCTATCTCATCTTAGTTGGGGGGAACCTTCCTTTTCTACTGGTACATTTCCAGAATATCAGCCACAACGACAACTGTTTTCGGATGTTTGGCTATAAGGCACAGCTTTAAGGACTTCATTACACAATGCACCAAATTTGATGTACAGTCATTCTGAATCTTGTAGAGAAGCAAGTTTTCACTGAGCGACATGAAAGATAACCCTGTTATCACACAGACCGAAACCACCGAGTGAAACATTGACAAACCTCAACTTTGATGGCAGTGCCTGGATCGTACCAACTCGTTCCGGGTAGGAGAAACTTTTGAAACTATATTGTTCTGGCTATATTTCTTTACTGTAGTAAAATTATGAAGTGAGATGACACAGTTCAAACGACTTTAAAGCTCCCAATCCAAATTTTGTTGATAAGTATACACACATCAGAAAGAAATAACAAGGGAAAAAAATGGATACCCCTCTGTGTTTTCGCAACATGTCTGGACATTTACCTGTTGACTGTTGTTGTAATGTGAAGCATTCAGGTGCTTCCTTTTCGCCAACAGGACGTTCAAAATGGAGTGGGCGCTGCCTGGCTGAGATTAAAATACGTGTTTCTGCAGTATTATTTGTTTTTCTAACATTACTTTCAATTTGTACCTAGAGTATTTTAACTAAGTTATCGAGGGGCGAGAATTCAATATGTTTTGGACGGTCTTCGTCGCCGTTTTAATGGCGACAGGTGAGTTGGCCTGTTTTTTCGCTCAGACAGGGCGGGCCCTTCCGTGAAATCCGTTTTGTTTTTCTGCGCCTCTGTACAAAATAACTTTTGGCCTACAGAGTAACGAATAGTTTTCTGGGTTGTTACGGTTATTTGTTGCAGATTGTAAAATTATGTATTGAATCCAAAAAGTTATTCAAAATGTTCGATTTTAATACTAAAGCCTTTGGTTCCCTTTTTGTTTCTCTGTTGCTCTGTGACGGAACATTGCAATTCCATTTCCAAAGAGATCTCGTCAGATTTTCTGGGTAATTCTAGAAGAAAATACTGTCTAATTTGTGATTTTGACTCTAAAACTTTGCCCCGTTAGGCCTAATAAAAATGTAACATTTCCACATTAAATATATTAAAGTTCAATTTTGTAAGCTATTCCGAGTAGAATCACCTATTGCTTTCATCTAAACTTATTAGAAGCCGGATTTGAATCCTCATTTTAATCTTCGAAGCAATGTTCCTCTTGTTAAGCCTTGCAGGCCTGTGAAAACGGGGTTAACACACTGGAGTAGATATTTAAAATGCCCCAACTCATTTATGTGGACAAAGATGCATTTACTAAACATCAAAAGGGCAAAAGCTTTTATTTAGACTCCTCAGCTTCATAATATATCAAGGAAATGGGGATCAGTGGGACTAGTGTGGGTCAGCCTGAAAGAATGATGCATGGCTGTGACTCAACTTTCCTACTCTATGAGTGATACTATGAAGAAACATTGTTTATGCACCACACCTTGACTATTGCATACTACAGTGATTTCCACAGTTAAGTCTGCAGAAGCAATGTAAAATTTTGACAGTGGTAGACCTTTTTACTAACTTATATTTTCTAATCCTTTTTAGAGTCTACTTTGGCTATTCAGGTTTCCTGTCCTACCAGGAGGTACATTGTCATGCTCTTCCAACCTGTCACACTCAAGTGTGATTACTCGAGTACCGATAGCCGTCCTATCGTCACATGGAAGTACAAATCCTTCTGCCAGGACCCCATCCAAGTGGCACTTGGCTCCAGCAGTACGAATGCAGCCCTCTCTCAGGCCAACATTGACCCCAGCACCAACTGTCCTGACAAAGACAGAACAATCCGCACTGTGGCAGTTAAGGAAGGCGATTCTGTCACACTGAGCAAAGAATACGCAAGTCGCAAGATCAACATTATAAATCGTAAGTTAGTAAACGCTACTGGATAAATCATTGCTAACAGTTGAATCCAATTTGAAAAAAAAAGTATTTTGACACATGAACTGATTTTAGAAAGAGAAAGTGATTAAAAAAAATATGTTTCCTAAAATTTTGAGTTTTTGTAATAAACATTGATGTCAACAAATCACACTCAAGTTACACACTAAAATCATTTAAATATTTTCTGTTTCAGTTTTTTTTTTTTATTGTTATACAGCTCTGTCATACCTTGACAGAGCTGCATATACCATAATTTGATATGCTCTAGCAAAATAACAATTAAAAATTGAATGTCTTGTTCACCATTTCTGTGGTAATGAAGATGGGTTTTTTCTATATCATAACTGTTTTGAAATCTGTAAATAATATTGAACTGGTTGAAATAATGTGGTACACGTTTTATTGTGGACATTGTGCCATGTTGTCTTCATACTGCAGAAAAATGAAAGTCATGCAGAACTAATAGAAATTTGGTAAGTCACTGACCAATAGATTATCTTACTACAGAAGGAAAACAAATTCATTTATTTTCAGATTTTTTATTCCTTCATAAATGCTTCAAATTATTGTGGAAGGTGCCTGATTAATTATGAATTATTTTTTTTCTGCAACCTGTCAAAGCAAACTTCACAGCAACATGGTCACTGCAGAATCAAAATATGCAACGTGGGTAGATTAGCTACATACTTAAAGGTTTTTTTATTTATTTATTTTTCCTGAAAATGAACCGACATCACTTGACAAGTGCAAAAAAAATTCATTAAATCGTAATTTGAATTTGGTAATTTTGGACGTTCACTAGCTTCAAATATGAAAGTACTGCCATAAAGATGAAATTGAATTATAATAATGGTAAATAATTTCTCCCTCACAGTGGCAGACCTACAAATCTCTGAAACTCATTGGGGGGAAAGTGGTGTTTACTTCTGCACCGTGGTATCATCCAAGGATATTTCAGGGACTAATGAAGATTTCACTGAATTAATTGTGCTTGGTGAGTTTTGCTATTTTTATTACATTATTTTATGTATTCATTTCCTGATTATTATTTTTTTTTCTTTTTGCACCATTTCTTTTCTCATTTCTGCTCCTATCCACTAAAATTATTACACATTCAGAAAAATAATGGTAAAAAAAATATATATTTACAAAAAGCAGTGTGAGCAACGCTTAGTGTGCAAGTTACTGAACTATTTTGGGATTTTGTGGTCAAGAAGATATTTTCCACAAACCTGATTAAGCAGCAGAGTTAGATACCACCCTAAAGTAATTGCAGCTTTATCTGTCTTTCACAGAGAGAAAGACTAATACTACTGATCTCCTGCCTGGCATTGACTTACTGGTTATGGAAGGTAGTACAATACCCTTGTGTGAGAGGAGTAAGGGATATTGGGTGCATTAGGTTTCATTCTATAGATGGAATGACTCTGCCCTCTGACTGCTTTACCGAGGGACTTTGAGCTTGTGTGCTCTCCTTAAAAAAATGGACAATTCTAAACTCTAAACAGTTTTATTATACAATTGTGAGAACAATTACCAAGTACTCCATCACATTTTGAGAGACAGTGCACTTCTAAAAGTCCTGATGTAGACAAAAACACTTCACACTGAGGAGTTCCTCTCAAATTCTTTTTTATATATCTTTATATTTTCTGAATTGCATTGTCTTATTTATTTTCAGTTGCAATATAAATTTAATAGCTAAACAACTCTGTGCATATTTCTTAATTTGTGTGCAGGTTTTTTTTTTTTTTTAATTTCATTCTCAGCATCTCTTCTGTCTGTGTTGTGGGTTGCCTGAACAGACATGCAGAGTGATTTGGATTTACCAGTTTGACATGTCCTTAAACATGTTCACATCAACATGTTAGGGCTCATATGTCTTTTTCAAATGTGGCTTTTCACAACACAGACTTTCTTTGCTGTTCTGCATAGATAATTAATAGAATGTCTTTGGGAATAAACATTTCATTTTTTTACTTTTTTATCTGATTCATTGTCTTCTGCTTTGTTTGTAGTACACATTGGTACCTACAAACAAATGTGTTTGGTTACTGACAAGTACTTATTGGATTCATGGGGAGTGTAGTGGGCTTTTTTTCTGGAGTAGAGACAGACGGTAAAACCTTCAGCATTATGATATCATATGTGTCTCTCTTTGATGCACACAGACTGGCTACTGGTTCTCCTGGTGGTTTTGGGCTTCTTTTTGCTCCTTGTTCTCATCGGGATCTGCTGGTGTCAGTGTTGCCCTCACACTTGCTGCTGCCTCGTCAGCTGCCCCTGCTGCCCAGAACGCTGCTGCTGTCCGCGAGCATGTAAGTATCAAATAGAAAAAGAATGAAGATTTCATCTTGTTAATATTTGGTTCTAGTGAGACCTAAATAATGAATTATCAGACATGCTTTTAGTTGATTATTTACCTGGATTTTCGCTAATTCTTCTTAATAGTACTTGCAGTCCCTGAAAGAGGA